TAAATAGAATAAGTTAGAGTAAGTTAGAATAAGTTAGAAGTAAGTTGGATGTGTATGGAAGAGGAGAAGGAGAGGGAGATTGTAACCCTGAGGGGAACAAATAAATATATCTATCTATATAATACTTAAAATTTGTAATTTACAGCTGTAAAACAAACTACAAGTAATATAGTACCTATAAGTGATTGCAGACAGAAGATGCCCCAAATGCAAAGATAATTATCAGAAATCAGATTGACAACGTGTCGAAATCCATGAAATGTTTGCATGTAATACTTTATATATAACAACAAAAGCGGTGTAATTGCTATTACCGTAATAAGTGCAATCCAAATTTGTAAATTAAAAACCTGTTATAAATATACAAGTTAAAAAATTATTAATTTAAAATAAAAATTTCTTTTCTTAATTTTTCCTTGTATTTTAATTTTAAAGAATAATGAAATATACAAATAAATCAAGATAAGTTTATTCAATTGCAATTAATATTAATTGCATTTACCTGAAAATAACCAAGCCACTTGACACCACAAGTTCCTGGTTCTTTGATAAACAAGCTATTTTTAGATACTATCAAGGGCAGCGTGAAGTCGACGTCTTTTATTCGAAGACTAGTCATCGACATATCGGCAATAGCGATGTCTGCGCGACCCGACACGATTTCACCCATCACTCCAGACCAAATGTTATTTTCAAAATCATATGTGCCGTGGTCCGCAAATTCCGATACAATATTCAGAGTACAGTTAAGAGTATTTGTAAGCTCTTCTAATACTTTGTTATACAAATTAACCACATAATTATCATCAATCGGCGATAAAATCGGTACATCCTTGATTGAATTAATAGTAAAAAATTAAATTGAGAATTAATTTTGATAGTAATAATTAAATAAATTTTGGAAAATATATAATTTTTAATGCATATTATTCGTAATATAACGAAACTTGGAAAAGATTATTAGATAAAATTCGATGACGAATTGATGGAAATTGATTATATGTACAAATGCAAACTTGTAAAAATATTTTATGCAAATGTCAAATTTTCTTCTGACGCGTGGAATTAATTATAAGATGTTTAGTATATAATTATTCTTATGCCAATAAACCACTTTAAAAATCTTGTTGAAAACCTTAACCACGGTGGCTCGCAGGACAACTCCTTCCAAATCCTTCCTTCGATCATAGAGAGACATGTTCGTCAGAGAAACAAATCCCTTCTCATCGTCCCATACCGCTAACTTAGAGGTCTTTACAGTCTCGCCTTTGACCGAGTACCATTCCCACAGAAAGTCTTCGCCATAACACAATACCAGCATCTGCGTGTTGAACGCTATGTTGAAGGGATTACCTATTGGCTCAAGACAATAATTGTGGGTATCATTGGCAATTGGATAAAGAAACAGCACAAACCACACCGAAAAAGACATGGGGTAAGTTTTAGTGGCCTCTGCAAATTCCTGATACGCCTCAAAGTTAGGCATGATAACGATGGTGATGGGTTGTACTATTTGATTTTGGTATCTGAGCGATCTTTCCATCTTTTTGAAATGCATATTCACGGTCATCACATTGTGCTGGCTCAGTCCACGGTAGCATCCATGCACCAAGTGTGTGATCTCCAAATCTACGGGAATCGCAGCTTAATAAGCTTGATATTTTGTACTAACTTTGTAGTAAAAATATATGTAGTAAACACATTTTCTAAAAATTTGCCTAAACAAATAAAATCGCTTCTGCAATAGTTCTGCTGTTTCTCTTACTTCGTCAGTTCAAGGAATATTATTGGAAGATATCGGAATGTTGCAAACGTTTATTTAATTAAATTAATATTTACGAAACACTTATGCAAAAATAACATATACCGTTTTCAACTGACCTCCATAATCCTTGTAATCATCTCCGGGATGGGCAAACATAACGGTCGCCGCGGAATAAAATCTCCGGATGCTCAATATCGCATTAACGAAAACGCTGATGTTAAAGCGTACTTCTGCCGAGCTTAGAAGAATACAAAACAGCATTGAATACATCAAACAGAGCGGTAATCTCATGTCGTCGGCGTAAGAGGAGGGCGAAAATGGCACAAG